CCATGTGTGTGTGTGTGTGTGGGTGTATAGAGAGAGAGGGCGTTTCAAATGCAACACATCACATTTGTACAACAAATGCAACCCAATCAAGTGAGATATTTATGGAAATGATGAGAGTTCATTTATTATGATTTGAATACCTATGGAAGATGACTAGGGTTCATTAATTATTATCAATACTTTATAAAGCTATTGTTTCACATATTTGTTTCATAATGCGATTATTTTTCCCACGTTTGTTTCGCATTGTGAAACTTTTTACGTATTCATTTCAATACGTAAACATAAAAAAGTTTTATATAATTTTTTTACCATATAAACACAAACATATGTGAAACAACAGTTAAAATAATAATCTTTAATAAAAAAAAATATATTTTAATATTATCTCATTTGATAATCGTCGTTCCTCTCTCTCTATATATTGATATTTATGACGTCATTGGACATGTATGCATGGGTGGTTTAAATTTGATCAACCACATTTCCTACCCTTAACTATATTCCATTTCTATATATAAATAAATTTTGTTGTGAAAAAGACATATAAATATCCAATTTAGCTTTTAAACATGTTTTTTTTTTAATAATCGGTTTATTAAATATAAAAACAAATACAGTTAAAGGGGTCGAATGTAATTACAACTGAAATCTTACAAATGTAAAACATTACGTAGGATTTTATATCTAATATTAACAGTGTAAAGTTGTTTTCAATATGACAACTATAGAAGCTTGGTGGGTGTTTACACTGAATAAATTGCCACTGAGTTTGGTTTATATGAGTAAATATCATTGGTGATATCTGGTTTATATTAATATCTTAAAGGTCAGTGACTTTAAATTTAACTGTTTCGTCTATAAAGTAGATCTCACCACAGGTACTTGGCTACTTTGCTATGTCAGGTTCTTGTTGTTGTTTTTTATAAGATCTGATAAAACATTTACAAGTTGTGGTCTTGTACGATTTTTGTGTTCAAGTTCTTGCTGGGATTTAATATCACAACGGTCCTTCGAATAAAATGACGAACTTTATCAACCAAATCACCATATCTGATATCAATCAACAACCGCATAAGAAATGAAATGAATCGACATAAGTATTGTAACTGGCCCAGTCTAAACCTAAAACGAGCATGCTGATTGTTTTTTTATTGAGGTGGTCCTTGAAAGAATCAAATTGGACTGATCAAAATAGTTGTTGAGGCAAATTTGTTGTGCCAAAAAAGCTCGGCCCATAACTGAATAGCAACAAAATAATGATTGAAATGACTTTTTTTTTTTGCCTTTTTTACCTTAAAATTACTTATTTGCCCTTTATAACAACTAGGTTGATGGATTATTGGAAGCTTGTTCGTTGTGATTAATATATATAGGGAAGAAATGCTTCATTTGTTTTCCAAACATTCTCTCAAGCTTTATTCGACCAGTATGATCTACTAACAATCCAAGCTCATATGGTAGTTTCAAAATCAACATTGTATGGCAAATCACGTTTGTTTACGGCATTAGATGTCAAAGTTCATTGATGGCAAATGAAACTGGATGCTAAAATGCGAAGTTTAATCCAAGCATGTCGTCATTTGAATTCCAACCAACGTGAATCAGAACATCATAAACAAGTTGGATTCACCACCAAGAATTATGTATGTTGAGAATGGACGATCATAAGGTACTAGAGATCGATAATGCCAGACAATGACCACTTCTTTAACTGGTTATAACTAGTCCAGTTAAAAAGTGTTACAATGTAACTGGTTTTGGTTTTTACCCCAAAATGTGTAATTGATAGTAGATATGCACAAAAAAGCCCAAGCCTCAGGGCCGACCTCAGAATGTCCAATCTACAGAATTCTAGAAAAGCCCAGTTTTTCCCAGAAAGAGACAAAGATCCCGTCTTGAAAAAGTCTAATCATGCGCTTTTTTCAACCCCAAATGATGAGTTGAGTTAAAAAAATATCTACATCAACTTCAAAGGCTAAAATGAGAAGTACAAACATCCATTGATCAAGAAACCAGATAAAGACATCCGTTAAAGTTGGATAGCTATAAAGAGTCATCCTTGCAGACATAAATGGAAACCACTCGAGATGGAAATAGGGTTGCAGATTCACGAAGCACCAGGTTTTTGTTATTTCGGTCATGATATGGCCCTGGTCAAAGATGGAGGAGATATACAAATCTAAATTTTGGTGGAGGAGATGGAAGACCAAACTCATCTCCATCATAAGCTTTCCACCTAATGAAAGCAGATTAGGCATGGGAATTGATCCCGACCCGTCGGGGAACCCGACCCATCCGCCTTAATCGGGTCGGGGAACCCGGCCCACCCGCCTTAATCGGGTCGGGGATTTTCGTTAAACTGGATCTAAGGGATGGGGATCCCTGTTTGGCTCAAACCAAGGATGGGGATGGGGACGGGTATCACACTCCCTGCCCCATACCCATATATATCAATTAATAACTTATATTATATGTTATTTATTTCTATTAAATCAATAAATGGTCATTTCAATTTCAATATATTTTGGATATTACTCGATATGTTTTGGTACATGTGATGTTCACTTTTTTTTTTGATTAAATTTAATTTCTTTTGGTTTTCGATTTACTAATATTATATAATGATGTATATTTTTTGTATTAAATTAAATTCCTTTGATTTTAGGTTTATTGGAATAATGCAAGATTTAAACATGTGTGACGTCTCATACATTTGCTTTAAAAAAAACCCTACACAGATGGAAAAAAGTCCCCCTTTTCCCATTGGAAACAAGGATGGGGATGTGATCTAATTTCCTGACGACAACGGAACCGAGGTTTAGGATCCTCACCTCATTACCATGCCTAAGCGTAAGACAGATTCCATGGAAAAATAGTTTCGGTTCTTATTTTAGTTTTTTTTTATCACAAACTTTTTGGTGTTCTCAATGTTATTTATGGTTTTATTTTAGGGTTTATGTTATTGATTTTTAAGTGAAGAAAGATGAAGATTAACAAAATAAAGAAAATAAAAAAAATATTATTTTATCCTTAATGAAAATGTGATGGGTTAAATAACGTGCAAAACAAGTTTAAAAGTATTTTTCTTTCATTTAACGTACTGAAGTTGACTCGAGGTGTATAGCGTGAGGTATAGGATATATCGAGTAATGGAGCGAGTAATAGAAACGGGGCCCTTGGAAGTAACGTGAAAGACAATTTCAAAAGGAGATATGACTATTTTTCTCTCGTTATGAAAAATTAAGTAAATATATTGAAGTCTTTTCAATATTTATACCGTGGATTGAGTAACTTGTAAGACAAGGTTACAAAATGGACGAATACGACATGTAAAATAACGACTTAAAATAGACCCATGTTTGAACAAATTAATTTCTATGTCGAGCTGAAAATGGTCGGTCATGACTGGGTTAACTTACCAACACCTTTTTTTTACTTGATTCGTGAATAACTAATATGTTATATAAGGGGTTGTTTGATAATTGCTGAATGGTTTGATGCTGAATGATTAAGTGGTCAAAATGATTAAGAGGCTCTCATGATATAGTGCAAAATGAAATATAATTGTTTGGTAATTGTGTACAATGAAATTAGGGCTCTTAATGGGTAAAGAAGATCCAAGATACAAAATCATTCAGAAGGTTTTAGAACCGTTAAGAGACAGATTTTTTTTTTTGCCAAATAAGATTCATCTTGTAATTCGGAGGTTGTCTCTTAATGAAACTATTAAGAGACAAACAATTATAAAAATAGTAAACTACAATTTAGGCCCATGTGGTTTAACAAAATTACAAACAACGTCCTTAAACTTCAATAAGTACAATAATGATCACTATAGTTTGCATTTTGCTATGAAAGTAGTTTTTTACCTTGACACCTTAAAAATGTCCGTTAAATGAAGAATATTTTTTTTTACCATTTTTAATTTTCTTTTACAAAATAAAAAATATATTATATTATTTATATTTAATTATATATATAAACATACAGTGTTAGCACATGAACGAACGATATCCGACCTTCAATCTCCGGTCGTCAACCACCAGCGTCCCGTGGCGCTATTCCCCCTCGGCTCCCCATCATCTCTTCTTTTAGAAACGGTCAATACCTTACATCAAAAACTAATTTCTAATTTTAAATATTTATTTTAACGATTCATAATAAAATGTATCGATCGCGGAGGTGAATATTAAACGTGATATCATACTTAAGAAATTGGTTTAATCATTTCACCATATCTATACTATATTACAAGAAGGGTACTTGCGCAAATCAGCGAGATACATCTTGATTTTAATATTTTATTTTATTATTTATCTCAGTCGATGTTATATTATGATCTTATGTGATTTTTGAAAAAACGATGATGTTTTTATGTTTGAATAAAATATAAACTTAAAGATATCATAAAAATTTGACAAAAATATATTGATATCAGTATCAAATTAACTATTAAAAATTCTTATTTTTTGTGTAATTTTTTAATGCAAATTTTTTATTATAATTTAATTTAGGTTTAATAACGAAATAATTTATATTTGGTTTAATAATATAATTTTCTTATAAAGATAATCTATACTATCTTATAAAGCAAATT